TCCCTCACCTTAGGCCACCAAAATTCCCTGGTGACCAACCACATGGTTTTGTGTTGTCCAAAATGCCCCGCCGTAGGGCTGTCGTGCAACTGCTTGAGTACCCTCCCCCTTAAGTCTCCTTCAGGGATATACAGTGCCCCTTTGTAATACAAAGCTCCATTTCTTTCCTCGAAACCCCTGGTTCCTCTCCCTCACCCCTAAGACCTCTGAGCTTATTCTGGGCGTATTCATCATTCTCTGTTTCCTCTACCAGTTCTCTTTGTCCCACCAATGCCGCCCCACACACCCAGCGGTCCTCTGGAATGACATGTCTCTCTTCGGGTGCTCCCTCCCCCTCCAAATATTCAGGTTTGCGTGAGAGAGCGTCCGCCCTAATGTTCTCTGGGCCTGGCACGTAACCAATCTCAAAGTTAAATTTGGAGAACTCCTGGGCCCATCTCACTTGCCGTTGGTTGAGCACTCGTGCCGTCCTCCAATACTCTAGGTTCTTGTGGTCAGTGCACACTTGCACCTTATGTTGTGCGCCAATTAGCAGGTGCCTCCATCTCCGGAACGCCTCATGAATGGCTAGTAGTTCTCGGTCATACACCGTGTAGTTCCTCTCGGATTTGTTCAGCTTTCGCGAAAAAATAGCACACGGTCTCCACTCTGACTCCTCCTTCCCTGGCTGCAGAAGCACCGCCCCAATCGCTCTGTCTGATGCGTCAGTTTCCACTCTCATCGGTTTTTGTAAATCCACATGCAGGAGTTGTTGTTCCGAGGCGAAGGCCCTTTTAGTTCCTCAAATGCTCGCTCCGCCTCCTCAGTCCAAACGAACTTCTTCTTACTGCTGAGACAGTCCGTAATGGGCGCCGTCAGGTGGGCAAAGTTTCGGATGAACTTACGATAGAAGTTCCCAAATCCTAGGAACCTCTGCACATCCTTCCTTGTTTTGGGTGTTTTCCATTCCAGCACCGCCTGGACCTTGCCGGGATCCATGGCCAATCCCTTGTCTGACAGGCGATACCCCAGGAATTCCACCTCCTTGGTATGAAACTGACACTTCTCCAGTTTCACCCACAGCTGGTTGGCTTGCAGCCTGCTCAACACTTCTCTGACGTCTCTCACATGCTGCTCCTCATTCTCAGAATACACCAACACGTCGTCTAAGAAGGCCACACAATTCTTGTAAAGCAAAGGCCCCAGGACGTGGTTCATAAACGATTGAAAGCATGCGGAGCCTGCTTGTAGGCCGAAGGGCATAACCAAATATTCAAATGCCCCTAAAGGGGTGAACATGGTGGTTTTCCATTCATCCCCCTTCCTTATTCGTATCAGGTTGTACGCCCCCCTTAGGTCCAGCTTTGTGAAAATCTTTCCCTTCCGCACCCTTGTCAAAATGTCGTCAATCCTGGGCATAGGGAAGGCCACTGGTTCTGACACTGCATTTAAGGCCCTGAAGTCACACACCAGCCTCGGCTTGTTCGTGTTTTTTATCCACAAAAAACACTGGGCTGCCCCCACCGCCCTGGACTCTCTGATGAACCCTCTCTTCAGGTTCTTGTCAATGAACTCTCTTAGCTCCTGCATCTCTCTGTCTGACATGGCGTACAGCTTGCCTACAGGGAGCTGTGCCCCAGGGAGTAAATTGATTTGACAGTCAAAGGGTCTATGCGGGGGTAGTTGGTCAGCTTCCCTTTCGCTGAAGACGTCGCGGAGATCTGCGTATTGTCGTGGTACCTTCACGTTCTCCGTTACTTCAGTCCCTGCTAGGGTGGCTTGGGCCCCTGCCAAACCCTTTCCCTCTTTGCAGTGTTCTAAGCAATGTGCTGAACCAAAAGAAACCACTCTCTGATGCCAGCCCACCAGCGGATCATGTAACGCTAGCCAGCTCATCCCCAATATAATGGGAGCTCCTCCCAAGGTGGCCACATTAAACGCTATCAGTTCGGTGTGCCTTGCCACCTTCATTATCATTGGGACGGTCTGCAAGCTGACTTCTCCTCCCAACAGCTCCCTGCCATCGATCGTGGTCACCTGCAGGGGTTGCTTAAAGGGATCGTCTGTATCTGGTGTTCAGCTGCAAACTCTTTGCTCATGAAATTGCAGGAGCTGCCTGAGTCCAACAGCGCCTTTATCTTTAGAGGGTGTCCGTTTGGCAGCTCTAGCGCCACTTCTATCACTAGGGCGGGTTTAGGAGGTTCTGGCGTGGGCACTCTCACTGCTCTTTGGCCTGGCTGCTGTGCCCCGACGGTGGCAGCCAGGCGTTGGCTTTTACTTGCTCCGGTATTTCTTCCTCTCTTCCCTCCACAGCTCCTACCATCCCTTGCCATTCCTTCCTCTGTGGGCAGACTCTGGCAAAGTGACCTGGCTGTTGGCAGAGATAGCATTTCCGGGCGCGTTTTCCCTCCTTCTTTCCCCCCTCACTGGGCTTTGAAACTGCGCGCGCGCGCGCTGTTCCGATTTCCATCGGCTCTGCCGGCGGGAAAGTTGGCTCTGGAATGTCTGGAATGCGGAACTCCTTCCAACGTTCCCCTTCCCTTCCCGCCTCTCCAATGCTCTCGCCTCCTGGCGCGCTCCTATGGTCAGCGCTGATTTGGTCAGCTGGTCCATAGACTCCGCCCTGGGCGCCCGGGAAAGTTCGTCTTTCACAGCCGAAGAAAGCCCTTCTTCAAAGAGCATTTGAATGGGTTCCGCCGATAAGTCCCACCCCAATCTGTGAACCAGCATGGTGAACTCAGTCCAGTACTCACGGACAGATCGGCTCCCCTGTTTGCAAGCCATTAACTGTCTGCGCACCACTCCCTGTTCAATATCGCTGGAAAACATCAGATCCATGGCGCGAAAGAACTTCATCGTGTCCTTTAGGACGTCACTATTCGCTGCCATCAGGGGTCTAACCCAGTCTCTCGCCCCCTTTTCAAGATGCCCAATCACGAAAGCCACTCGTGATTCCTCGTCAGGGAATTCATCAAACTGCAGATTGAGGGCATATTGCATCTCTGTCCGAAAGCCATGATAGTCTTTGGGCTCCCCCCCAAACTTCTGCACCAATCCTGGTACCTTTCTGGCGAGCTGGGTGGCTTTCCCCTTTTGTCTGCATCCTGAGCCCTCCTCTCCTCAAGCCTCGCCGTCTGCAGCGCTAGCTGGACCTCCAACACCCGGTACCTTTCTTCCAGGCTTGGACCCGCTCCAGCTCCTGCTTCTCCGGTTCCGGCTGGGTTGCTCATGATGCCTTCTCCTGCACAAGCTGCTTTCAAAGACTGTCGGAATGCTGTGATGGGATGATGAGCTGCTTGTGCGTAAAATAGTATCCCCTCAGAGTTTGTTCAAGTCCACAAACCTCTGTCTGTGATGGAGCCCCTCAGACATGGCTCCTCTAGTCACTAGCAGATTCCGACAGTGGTTGCTTTGGAATCGCTTCCAACATAAAAGCTCCTTAACGGAAACACGTCTTCTGGACTCTCTGCGTGACAGTTTCCGGCGAGGAGTGGGTGTTCCTACAGGAGGTCCTGAAACCTCCCCACTGTTTTCGCTGGAAGTGTCTCTGAGCCATCCCTCCAGCTCACTTTCCCTCAGCTCAGCTCCTCTCCCCCTACTGGTTCCCTCTTCAGCTGCTGAGTCTCTCCCAACCTGTGTGAGCCCTTTCACCTCCCTTCCTTCCGATGGCAGTTCCCTGACACCTACCTTCTGCTCCCCATGCTCTAAAATACTATCTAAAACAGGCAAAGGCAAACTCCAGCCCTCCAGATGTTTGGGACTACAATTCCCATCATCCCTGACCACTTTGCCCGATCTAAAAGCCAAATATGGTGCCATGAGAAGTGTTGAATTCTGAGCTTCAAAACATCTCCACTGAAAATCCACAAAAAACCCAGGCCAACGCCACTTTTCACAGTAGCCCCCACCCCAGCAGAACAATGCAACATTTACAAGAAGACAGTGGGTACCCAAAGTCATAAGATGGGGGGTCATAAGAATATTTTCCATTCAAATATTTTAAACATTTTTTTATGTTCCATTTATCCTTTCAAAACATTTACACAACATCTACACCATGTGAAAATTTTATTTGCTCCTTTATGATTTAACAACTATAATGAACCCAAAACATGAAAAATCATTTGATGATTATGAGATCAAATTTAGCTCTTCCCATAGTTTTCTGGAATGGACCTGCTAAATCTCTATGCAGAAGCTCCAGAAGTCACTTAGAATTTCTTTCACATTTTGTGTAAATGGGAGCTGTATAAGCAAAATATTTCAAATACATACATACATACATACATACATACATACCGTATTTTTCGCCCCATAGGACGCACCGGCCCATAGGACGCACCAAGTTTTTTTGGGGGGAAATAAAGAAAAAAAAAATTATTTCCCCCCCCCAGGCGCTTGTGGGGCCGGCAGCGGGGAGAAGCGCTCTTCTCCCCGCTGCCCGCCTGCAGACCAAGTCCGAGGACAGCGGGGAGACGCGCTGAGCCTCCCAGCTGTCCCCAGAGCTTGCGGGGCTGGCGGCGGGGAGAAGCACACGTCTCCCCGCCGTCAGCCTCCAAACCACATGGGGAGACAGCGGGATGGCGGCGTTCCGCCTCCCCGCTGTCCCCCGACCTTGTGGGGCTGGCGCTGCGGCTCTCCTGAAGCCTGGAGAGCGAGAAGGGTCGGTGCGCACCGACCCCTCTCGCTTTCCAGGCTTCAGCGAAAGCCTGCATTCGCCCCATAGGACGCACACACATTTCCCCTTCATTTTTGGAGGGGAGAAAGTGCGTCCTATAGGGCGAAAAATACGGTACATATATATTTCAGGTAAGCACACATATATAAAAAAGAACAAAAGAGAAAAAAAGAAGAAAAGAAAAAAGAAGAAGAAAAGTTGGAAGAATTTCTTCCAAATTTATTCTACAAATATCTCAATATGTTAATTAATTAATTAATAAAATTTCATTGATTGACTTCCATCGCTTACACTGCACTCCCTATATACATTTTAAGTTTTCTTTGATTTCTTTCCATTTTTTGATATAGTTGTCTTTAAATAAGTTCGTATTTTTATTTGTTATCCAAAGACCTAAATATTTCACTTGACCTTCTATTTTCAGCCCTGTTGTTTTCTCTAACTCTTCTCTGTCTTTCTCTCCCATATTCTTTGCCAATAGTTTCGACTTTTCTTTATTCAACTTAAAGCCCAAAACCTTGCCGAATTCCTTCATTTTTTTCTAGAGTTCTTTGAATACTTTCTAATGGTGCTTCCCTCGTTATAATCACATCATCTGTGAATCCTTTAACTTTATAGCACGGGTTTCCTACATTTGTCCCTCTAATTTCCTTGTCTTTTCTTAATGCTCCTAGAAGGGTTTCTAGCGCCATAATGAATAACAGTGGCGACAGGGGCATCCCTGTCTAACCCCTCTCTCAATATCAAATCCCTCTGTAATTTCATTATTTATCCTTAGCTTCGCTTTTTGTTTTTTGTAGATAGCTTTAATTCCATTCATTATTCTATTTCCTATTCTCAAACTTTCAAATGTCTCCGTCAGGAAACTCCATGAGATACAATCAAATGCCTTTTCGGCATCTACCAATAACATTACTATTTTTTTCCTCAGGTTCATTTTAGCATATTCCATTAAGTCAATAATTATCCTAGTGTTATCTTTTATTTGTCTTTCTGGTAGGAAACCAGCCTGGTCTTTCCTTATAATTCTTTTTAAAATGATTTTCATCCTATTTGCTAAGACCCCAGTAAAAATTTTATAGTCTATATTCAACAGAGAAATCTGTCTATAATTTTTAATCAACTTCGGGTCTGCCCCTTGTTTTGGAAGGAGATTTATCAAAGCTTCTTGCCAGGATTCTGGAATTTCTCCTTTGTCTATTATTTCATCCATAATCAATTTAAGTTTGGGGGCCACTATATCGGAGCTGTTGTTGATTTACTCTCCCTGCAAGTATTACACTCCATAAAGGATTTACATGGCTTTAACTTCATATCTGAGCACAATCCTGGCCTTTTACTTAATGTCTGAAAGCTGGCATGTCCTAAACACCTATGGAACAAATGTGTGCATTCATCATATGGAGGCTTTCCCCCCATTTTACATTGTCATCTCTACTTTTAAATTTTCTTTGTTGTAAGATTCCAAACAATTTCCGCTTATAAGATACAATGAATTTTCTAGCTTTCCTGCTATGCAAACCTTTCCATTTCACATCTCTCTTCAACAAATGTAACTTCAAAATTCAAAGAAGTTTTGAAATGGACATTAAATTATGTTCAAGTTGAGGAATAAACAGAACATTAGTTACAATTGTTCCTATACACTTTACACACATGTCTAAAAAGGCAAACAGTGAAAACAAAACAACTTGTATATTCACCTGCATAGGCCAAGGTGGTCAAAGGTCACAGCCCAAGCAAAAAGGCGTTACTTCTGCAGAGATGCCATCCAGCAGACCCATCAGCAAATATAATTCCATAAATTCATGGAGCCAATAGGAAAAGATACTTTCCGCCAGATACTTCATGCCAAGTGAGGCCGAGCCTTTTACTCTAGACACATCTGCCAAGGTTCAGGTGTGAACAGCCTATGAAAATTCCAGTCTTCAGTATCTCAGGTGGGCAACTGGAGAAACTTCTTCCCACCTGTTCTGTATAAGGTTATGTGTGATGACAACAGATCCAGTAAAATAGAGGTTCTCTCAGGGGACCCATGGTGTTTATTAACCTGGAAAGAAGAGAGAATAAGGTATGGTGAGATAACAATGGCTCTCAGGCTGGACTGACATGAAATTGGGCTCATTTAGACTGCCCTTGCATCAAACAAGTAAGAAGCCTGGTTTGTATGGCACAGTAAGCCACATTATGGATTACTGGAACCATGCCAGTGTGTAGGCTCCCCTGGAGGAACCTGCAGCCACTTTGCCCCTCCCTGGTCCTTTTTGGGTGGTGCTGTGTTCTAAACCTCTTGGGCTTGCCAATCAGAAGGTTGGCGGTTCGAATCCCCGCAACAGGGTGAGCTCCCGTTGCTCAGTCCCTGCTCCTGCCAACCTAGCAGTTCAAAAGCACGCCAGTGCAAGTAGATAAACAGGTACTGCTGTGGCGGGAAGGTAAACAGAATTTCCATGCGCTCTGGCACTTGTCACGGTGTCCCGTTGTGCCAGAAGCGGTTTAGCCATGCTGGCTACATGTTTGTCTATGGACAAACACTGGCTCCTTCGGCCTGAAAGCGAGATGAACCCCATAGTTGCCTTTGACTGGACTTAACCATCCAGGGGTCTTTTACCTTTACCTTTTACTTGCCTTGCTGTGCTGAGTTGCCTGAAGCAGGACTCAAGGTTAACCTCTCTTTTCACTAACCATGTAGCCTAGGGTCACATTTGGTCAAGGCACCAGAAAGGCAAACAATTTCCAGAGGAAGTAATTCATTCTTTATTGCCAAAGGTCACACACAAGTTAGGGAAATTGCACCCTTTCATCATATTCACCTGATGACTCAGTTGCTGCAGCAGAAAGGCCACACCCCGACTTCAGCTTATGTATCTGTGCAAGCAGACACATTCTGCCTGCATGTAACCTGCAGGAGGTGTGGACGTCTGTGACTCTCTACCAGCCTTCCCTGTCTCGCCCTCCCCCTGCACTTATTCTCCACTCTGCCATCCTACAGCCTCTGCTGCATCTGACTCATCTCCCAGCTGCAACAGGTTCCCTCAGAAGACTGATCCCTTCCTTCTTCCAAGTCCATTTCCAACCCTGCTTTTCCTGGTGCCCATTCATCAGTATCCAGCCAGTCCCAGACACATATGCACCATACATTTAAAGCCATATCATGCCACTTTAAACCATCACATTTATTATTATTATTATTATTATTATTATTATTATTACTACTACTACTACTACTATTTATATTTTATATTTATATACTGCCCTATACCTGGAGGTTTCCGGGCAGTTCACGGAACAAAATCAAAATACAAAACCACAAAATATATAATCAAAATAAAAACAACAACCCAATAACAGACCCTCCCCTCCCAACCCCAACCCCAACCCCCAAACCCACCATATTTTAAAAGGGCATAGGATGTAAACTGGATCAACCAAAGGCCTGGTTAAAAAGGAACGTTTTTGCCTGGTGACTAAAGGTGTATAATGAAAGTGCCAGCTGAACTTCCCTGGTGGTACACCTGCAAACGGGTATTGAAATAGAAATTTGTTTAGGAATGTATGAGAGACCTCACAATTGGGGAAATGAGACAACTTATTTTGACCGTGGAACTATCACTGTGTGGAGTGCAACAAAGGCAATGGAAGGCTACCACAAAATAAAAGACAAGATGAATAATGCATGCTTACATCAAATAAATGCAACTCTTTGTAGTAAGTTCTGAAAGATGCTCCTCAGGTAAAACTCTTCCCTAGGGTCTTTGGGGTATGTTACACTATAGAGGCTGGAATGCACACATCCCTACAAAGGGATAATTTGTTTTCTTTACAGCGTGATCCTATCAAATCCTACTCAAGGTACAAACTGGATAGGATTTGAGAGCAACATTAAAAGTTTTCTGTTGTGATACAGAAATGTTAGTTGGCAGGTACAAAAGAGAAGATATGTGATCCAGAAGAATAGGGAATTGGGAACACAGGCACAACCTAGCGAAACAATTTAACTGCACCAAAAGTGACAAGTGCTTGTAGAACAGGATGCTCACGAGGCTGCCGTAGTACAATAGCAAGAGCATTCAGCATAATCTCATGCCTTCCTTTGTTATCACGAGATGGAGTGAAAAATGCTCTTTTGGTCCCAGATATTTTCTCAGTTAAGGCCAGCAGATGATGAGTATCAGCTCTGGGTGATGTAGATAGTTTCACAAGAGTTTGCTCATTTATAAAAATATTTATATACCACTATTCAGAAAAAAAGGGACGCAGGTGGCACTGTGGGTTAAACCACAGAGCCTAGGGCTTGCTGATCAGAAGGTCGTCAGTTCAAATCCCTGCGACGGGGTGAGCTCCCGTTGCTCAGTCCCAGCTCCTGCCCACCTAGCAGTTTGAAAGCACATCAAAGTACAAGTAGATAAATAGGTACTGCTCCTGCGGGAAGGTAAATGGTGTTTCCGTGCGCAGCTCTGGTTTGCCAGAAGCGGCTTAGTCATGCTGGCCACATGACCTGGAAGCTGTACGCAGGCTCCCTCGGCCAATAAAGCGAGATGAGCACCACAACCCCAGAGTTGGTCACGACTGGACTTAATGGTTAGGGGTCCCTTTACCTTTACCTAATCAGAAAAAACCCCTCAAAGCAGTTTAATAGTACATAAAACTATTAAAAATAAATAAATCAGCAATCAGGTAAGCATTGTGGAAAGATGTGTTCATAATTGCCTGCATGGGCCTAACAGAAAAGATTTCAGCAGGCGTTGTACAGAAGGGCAATGTTGAATCTGTTGAGATTTTGAGTTTTCCTGCAGCTTTTGGAAAAACAATTAGTGGGTTGGCAACAAGCCAGGTTAAACATGTAGAAAGTCTGCTTGGAAATAAGGAAGCCGAGCAACAGGCGGTGATTGGCTAAGTTCTTCCTTATAAGCAGGATGACAAAACAGTTTTCTTGTTGGAGTATTGAAGTTTTGGAAAGAAGTTTGAATCTAGTCTGTGTATATAGTAACTTGTACAAAGCTGTGCTTTACTCTGCTGTGTTATAATTAAGCTAACTAAAAATAAAGTTATTAGTCAGCAAGTTCTGTTCCTATTCATCGTCCTGGAAATCACTGATTTGGCAGCTGGTAGCAAGAGTTATGGCTGAGATCCATCAACAGAATCTCTACAGACAGAGTTGCGGTTAGAAAATTCTAGTACAGTGGTACCTCTGGTTACATACTTAATTCGTTCCAGAGCTCCATTCTTAACCTGAAAACGTTCTTAACCTGAGGTACCACTTTAGCTAATGGGGCCTCCCTCTGCCGCTGCCACGCAATTTCTGTTCTCATCCTGAGGTAAAGCTCTTAAGCAGAGGCACTACTTCTGGGTTAGCGGAGTCTGTAACCTGAAGTGTTTGTAACCTGAGGTGTTTGTAACCCGAGGTACCACTGTACATAGCCTGTCAGGGCAGGGTGCAATATGAGCTCAGATTTTTATAGACACTGTTCCTGGGTTCTTTCTCTCAAATACCTACTAATCCTGGAGTAGATTTATCACAAAGTGTCCCTGAAAGCACTTGGATGGGGAAGAAGTAAAATGTTGCACCACTGTGGTACACACAATATGTATGTGCATCTCTACACACACACACACACACACACACACACACACACACACACACCCTTTATGGTCAGTGGCCTAGCACCAACCAGCAAGGTCCAGTGCCCAGAAATACACATCTTGGCAGCTGAATGTTGACTATACAACACAATCTGGGTTGTGAGTTGAGGACCCGCCACCCACACAGGAGTAGAATACGACACAAAGACACATTATTTTAGGTTAATGGCCAAAATTAGGCCACAACTTTTATTGGTTACAGCATGTGAGTAGTAGTGGCTTATGCATTGGATGAGACAGCAATACAAGACTCCACCCCGCACAGCCGGGAGTCATATCAGGGTTAACAACCAATGGGAGGAGCTTGTTGATGCAAATACAACTGGAAGCTCCCCCATGATGTCACCGGGGTCTTGCCGTGGCCCTAGGCACCAGCAGGGCATCGGACAGGATCCATGACCGCTGGATTCCTTTAACCGAATACCCAAAAGAGGAGGGGTAGATGATGGCCCATACCCAATCCTCCAACACAGCACACATATTCCAACCGCCAATACCAGAAAGTTGTGACGAATTGCTACGAGGTAGGCGAAAAAACCAAGAGGCTGGTGCCAGTTTGCCAAATGGATAAAAAAAGTCCTACCAGGCCCCTTGGGCAACCAAGGCTACCAACCGAAGTCCATAGCAAGGTCAATATGCAAAAAAAAGCTGACCTAAGAGAGAGGGAGGGTAGGAGATCCGAAGAAAGCAGGAACAGACTGGGAGCTGAGCCCTGCCGCGGCTGTTTAAATACATATAGGCCCGCCCACCAGGCGGCCCTATTGCAGAAGCAAACGTGAGCAGGGAGCCGAGTACCCCTCCCTGCCCCAGCAGGAAGCTGCTCATGCTCACAACCCCTCCTCTGGGAGTAGGAGAGGCCTTGCGAGGTATATTTAGCCTGGAAAATAGCCAGGAGACTGAGAGGAGGTATTATAACCATTTTCAAATATCTTAAGGGCTGTCCCATGGAAGAGGGAGCATGCTTGTTTTCTCCTGCTCTGGAGGGTAGGACTCGAACCAATGGCTTCAAGTTACAAGAAAGGAGATTCCGACTAAGCATTCAGAAAGCTGAGATTCCTGCATTGCAGTCGGGTTAGAGCTAGATGACCCTGAGTCCCTTCCAACTCTATGATTCTATTCTTCTAAATTCTAATTGGAATACATTTCCCTTCTTTTATCTGCATTTTTAACTAGAGGTGCCCACAAGGTAGAAATACCGTATTTTTCGCTCTATAGGACGCACTTTTTCCCCTTCAAAAATGAAGGGGAAATGTGTGTGCGTCCTATGGAGCGAAGACGCCATAGCCCTGCGACCCTCTCCCGGCTGGAGAGGTGACGCGCAGCTATGGCAGGAGCCTCTATAGCCGCGCATCACCTCCCCAGCCGGGAGAGCGCGCGCAGGGCTAAAGAACCTGAAGCACCACTTTAGCTAATGGGGCCTCCCGCTGCCGCCGCGCCGCCAGAGCACGATTTCTGTTCTTGTCCTGAAGCAAAGTTCTTAACCCAAGGTAATATTTCTGGGTTAGCGGAGTCTGTAACCTGAAGCGTATGTAACCCGAGGTACCACTGTAGTTATTTTTCTCTTTGTCTGGTGTCTCAGTGTCTGGGCAGAACAATGGGGCTGGAACAATTCCTAATGGAACAATTTTTATTTAGAGATAGGGCAAAGTCTCTTTTCTCTCTACTGGAGAAACTGTAAACCAGTTTTTCCACATTGTCCCAGCCTCTTCACTCCCAACTTGGCTGTCTCAAATTCAGTCCTGGGCTGTCCGCATGGCAGGATGAAGTGGAAATCAAGAAGAACTTCTGAACAGGCCACGCAACTTCAGACAGCAGTGTCTGACATTTTAAATTATCAATTTGCAACAAAACAAAACCCTCTGTGCAAGTAGAAAACCAGGAGATCAAGGAGAGGAGAGGACTGAGCTCTAAAGCCTTTCTCCAACGGCATGCAATTTCTCCCCTGACTCAACAAGATTTTCAGATGTGGGAGCCTTCAAAAAGAGCACCCCTACTTATAATTTAAAGCGGTACAGTCCATCTGTTCTGCAGGGGTGTATAGATCAGGCCACAGTGCAAGGGGATGCAGAACAGTGGGGGAAGCTAGGAAAGAATCTGCTCCATAGAACTAGGGAGGGCAGAACTGCATCGCTCAGTGGCAGAGCAGCAAATCTCAAGTTCAGTCTCTCAATGTTTCAGGCAACTCCCCTTTTTGAAATTGTGAGCAGTCACTGTCAATCCGTGTGTAGGGAATACTGAGCAAGATCAGGCCAATGGGAACAGAGCCGTTTTGCAGAAGCTCTTGGTAGTCATTTGTGAGTCTCTCCTATCCCTTGACAGGGCCAGGCCAAAGCCTTTTGGCACCTGAGGCAGACCCCCCAAAATGGCATCCCATCTCCCCGCCAGTATCAGGGAAGAAAGAGTAACATTGGATCTGCTGCCTCTGTGGATCCTGCTGCCTGAGGCAGTCACCTGATCTCCTGGGAGGGCTGGCCCCGTCCTTTGAGTCGTGGTTCGCCATGTATAAGGTGCCTTCCCTTCTTTCAGTAACAAAACCCGCTCCCGATTCATAAGGACCAAACTGGCTTTCTTCCAGGGAGACATATGTCGGACAATGTGAGGAACATTATAGACATTTTGGAACTGTTAGAAGTGGACATCAATAGGAAGGCTGTTTTAATTTTTGTGGACGCGGAGAAAGCCTTTGATAATATTGGTTGGAGCTTTATGAAGAAGAATCTCCAAGGGATGGGGGTAGGTCAAGGGTTTGAAAACGGTATAGGTGCAATATATTCTAAACAAAAAGCAAAGTTAATTGTAAACAATGTGGTCAC